GGAAAATGTAAGTAGTGGCATAGACACAAAAAACAAAATACATCATTTTTTTCTGTTTATTGATATTGCGCATGTTACATTTCACAAATCTTACACTTCATTAGGATTAAAAGGTGATGATATATAAGTGCTCCATGAATTTGCAAAAAACTCTTATTGTCATATTCATCCATCCAAACAAACTAAATCCCTACAAAACCAATACTCGAAAATTAATCTGATGCTCACTAGCGACTGGCCCTATTCAGACAATTAACCTAGGGTGGTATTGGGAAGCTATGACCAGTAGGGTACTGCAGGTTGAAGTTGAGACAGTAACTCATCAAAAAAGATATTGCGAGATGGTTGCGCTATGTCGTGAATTGACAGAAGTTAGAATTCATGGGTTGGCCATTGGATCAGGTCCCAGTGGCTCAATGGTCTACGAGCTCTCTAGTCTTGTAACCAGAAGGTCCTGGGTTCGAACCCTGTTGGTGGATACGTACTATGAACAGTCCCATACTAGGACGAAACAGCTGTCCAATACTCCCAGGTGGGTTTTCCGATGGTTATCGAACTGATTTCAGCTAATGATGAAATCTTCCATCCGATATTGTTTTTATTTTAACGTTAACTAGTTTAAATGGACCAAAATACTTGATCTTTGTTAACTTGTCGAATCCAAACATGAATTGCTGGATAATGTCATAAGATTGACTTTATATTTTTTGGATAAAAGTAGAATTCGGGAGACTTTTCTTTTTCTACTCTGGACTCATCAGACACCAGTCAAATAACATATAGTTAACCTTCAGCTTTCTTCAAAGCTACCATACAAACAGGAACTGACATTCCTTTGGCTTACTATGGTTTTTTAATAGGTAATTATTGGATTTGATTCTCGATAGAAATACCTATCTATCTTTAAAATGCATTTAAACCAGACCGACGAGTTTGAAGCAGGATGAAGTGCGCTTCCTCAATTTCATTTTTGGGTGCCAATAATCAAATAACATGCATCAATTTTTCAATTCCTCCTTGCTCCAAATGGAAAACAAGGCTCTGGGTTTTGAATTGTCAGTAACAGTGGTATTGTTTTAACGAGATGGATTTGCTAGTCTTAGGCTCAACCTGACCTCCTTTCTGGGCTTACCACCGGCTAAACGAGGGTTAAGAATACGTCAGTTGGAAATCGGACCCACATCGGCGCGAGCGTGTGCACAAGTAGCAGTGCTTAAATTAATGAACAGTATATAGAAAGGAAGTAAACAAAAATAGAATGATACTTTTAAAGCGTAAATATGAATAGCAACGAATATACAGTAATTAAACAAAGGTCACTGAAAAATTTGAAAACACTGAAGAAAGGAAAATTGATGTGGAATCGGTTAAAATACTGTGATTTGTGTATAGCCTGGTCAGTGCGATTTCATTCATATTCATTTCTTGGATCTGAAAAGCTTTATTCAGTTAACTTATTTCTCAAGATATTGTATAGATTTAGGATTAGAAACTGTACAAATAAATAACGATTTGTGAAACAGTTAATTGAAGATTTTTGAACTGATTGATTTGAAAATAAAACTTTAATTTAAGTGTTGTTTGTAGGGATTTGATTGGTTACAGGATTTCATCATGAGCTGACATTAGTTAGAGAAACATTGGAAAACCTGAGATTACTGGACAGCTGTTTCGTCCTAGTTTGGGACTCTTCACAGTACACACCCACAAACAGGGTTCCAACACAGAATCTTCTGGTTACAAGGCAAGCTCGTAGGCGATTGAGCCACGTGGACCCGATCCAATGGCCAGCGCATGAATTCTAACTTCTGTCAATTCACGACATAGCATGACTCCTAGCCAATATCTTCGGCGAGTATTTGTCCTCACACTTGACCTGCTGCACCCTACTGATCACGACTTCTCACTAGAACTTCAGGTAACTACCTACCTGAATAGGACTAGTCGCTAGTGGTAGGTAGGTAGGTAGGGTAGGTAGTTACAGGTAGGTTGTTACCTGAAGTTCTAGTGAGAAATCGTGATCAGTAGGGTGCAGCAGGTCAAGTGTGAGGACAAATACTCGCCGAAGGCATTGGCTAGGAGTCACGCTATGTCGTGAATTGACAGAAGTTAGAATTCATGCGCTGGCCATTGGATCGGGTCCACGTTGCTCAATCGTCTACGAGCTTGCCTTGTAACCAGAAGATTCTGGGTTGGAACCCTGTTTGTGGGTGTTTACTGTGAAGAGTCCCAAACTAGACGAAACAGCTGTCCAGTAATCTCAGGTTTTTCAATGGTTCCCTAACTAATGTCAGCTCATGATGAAATCCTAAAACTTTAATTGTTGTGCTTTAACGTTACAAGCAAATATCATTTGCTTTGAAGGCAGTATATAGGATTCTTAATTTAAGGTCAGCTGGTTGGTTTAACTGTTATATTATGGACCTTCACGTGACTATGACAATAATATGTTGTATTGCCAACTATAATGTCTACTTCACTTTAAATGTCTATGCTCATGGATCCTAGTGAATTAATAAAAAGGCATAAGGTTTGTGATTCTTTCTAATTTCACTCATCTCATTGTACATCTCACTCATTTATCAAATGTAAAAAGCCCAAGAAATTAAAAATAATAAACTGAACTAATTGACTGAACAGCCATAACTTCTAAGAAGTTTCGTACACAGAAATTATTACAAATTCAAGATAATTTCTCATTACTACGGGATAAACAGCTACCAGTCCAGCGTTCTATCATTTGAGTTGTGATACCAAATTACTGGTCAAGTCAATGCAACCATAACAGGCTATGTCCAGCTGACATAGGAACCAGTTATTCGTTTGCTCAGCGGGTTGATCACTGGAGTAGCAACCTATAAACTGCTTATTGGAATTGTGGCACAACCCAGTTTTATTTTACTTACTATTTTGGTGTATAAAAGTTGTGTGAGTAACTTGATATGATTATGAGCAGTAATAGTTTGTGCTCGAAACGTCATCAGTTAATATTACTGTACAACACTGTGTGATTTATCAAAATAAAATCTTATCCATAATGGAGTTATGCTCTACCACCACAGTGCCCAAGTTTTATACTTAAATTTTGTGTATAAATAGTTATTTGGCTAGATGTGTACATACATTTCGATATTTCTATGAAACTAGTGATTTAACGTCAGAGAATCACTAATCACCTAAAAGGAAAACTTCACATGTCCAACTTAAATTTAACAAACCTAAAGAAAAGTAGAATGAGAAATTTGTCTTTTAGAAGGTATGTGTATTTCAACAATTATTCAAACACTTATTTCATATCAGTAATAAGTAACAAGTTTGTTGATATAAGAATAAAACTTGTGCACTGTGGTAGAGTATAAATCCATTATGGGTGAAATTTATCTTGATAAAGTCTCACAATGTCATACAGTATGTTTACTGATGACGTTTCGAGCACAATTTATTGCTCATAAACATATCAAGGTACTCATACAACTTTCTAACTTCGTTTATATAATTCAATTATTTTCCATCGCTTGATTTGAATGGTAGTAGCATTTTCCATATTTCCAGTTTTAAATGCCACTTCAATTTCTGCTTTATTAGGAATCCTACGTAGGGTCTCAGATATCCCCTCCGTATATGGTATAACAGTGGATGACTTATATTCTCTCTTATTTATGTTATCATTAGTAGAAGGGAAATCTGAGACCCTACGTAGGATTCCTAATGAAGCAGGACTTAGGGTGGTAGTTAAACCTACAAATTTACTCAAGGACAAGATCTATAGGTTAAAGGACCCTGTTAACCCAATTAGACAAAATAATATAATTTATAAAATATCCTGCAATAACTGTGAGGTCAAATTAGTAGGTCGGGGGTAGTTAGATTGTCGCAACATAAGAATTTAGCTAAGGCAAGAATGGTTGACCCCGAGAAGATAAGTAATTTAGAAAAAAAGCTCAGCAATTGCAATGCATGCATTAACACACAACCACGCAATAGGGTGGTAGAGGGTTAAAATTCTAAAAAGTAATCTAGATAGGTGGAGAGAGAGGTTGATTACTGAATCCTTGTTCATCAAGTCTACAACCAACACATGCAATGGAAATGATTCATCACTCATACCCGAAATATTGAAAATACTACTACCAATCAAATCAAGCGATGAAAAACAATTGAATTATATAAAGTCGTGTGAGTACCTTGATATGATTTTGAGCAATAAATTGTGCTCGAACCATCATCGGTAAACATTACTGTATGACACTGTGTAACTTTATCAAGACAAATTTCACCCCTAATGGAATAACAAGTTTGTGTTCGTTTCTGACCATTAATTATCTGTCAAAAGGAATTTTATTTATTGTCTTATTTTATTCTTTTGCATTCTGACTGGAACATACAGATGGCTTCAAGCTTGAGCTTTGAAGTTTCAACAGAAATGACAGCACTATTTTATATGTGATGGAGTTGTTAGCCTCGTGCGTAATATTTCCTCTGTACTGGTTTACTACCAGTTCAGCAAGGTTTAGGAGTGCATTGGCTGAGGGAGAGAACTCCGGACAACTTGCATGGTTGGCGAACACTCTGACGCCGAACCACCAACGCACTTCAAAAGAAACAATCAGTATGAAAAATTTTCACCTTTTAGTTAAAAACAAACATTCAACAGAGTTTCATAATTCAACTAAACATTAATCGTTATTATACAATTGAACATGTAAATGTCTTTCCCAATAATAATAATAATAATTAATGGAGCTGATTTTATTCCGAAATCCTGATTGGTTAATAATAAAAGTATTTTATGAGTCAATCAAAATGAAGTAGAAAGTAAATAAATCATCGTAAATATTATCAATATGATTGCGTGGGTGTGTAAGTGAATTACTTACACACAAATTCTAATAAACACCCGTTTAGTGAATATATATATATATATATATATATGTTTTCGCCCGTAAACGAATACATTTCAAAAGGAAGACAAATCACTTAAACACACATAATTAATAATTATGCAAGCATATTTAAAACTATTGCTATTCTGTGTTATATTTCTTCTGTGCGAATGTGAAGTCAAATGTTATTATACAAATATTAAAAATATTGACTGGTCTGACGAATTATCACCGTCATCCTCCTCATCATCACCAACAGGAGAAATTATTCTATCTCAACACATGCCATCAGCAGCATTAACAGCATCTACGAGAGGACAGTTTATGGGTTCTGAGGTTGACTATTATCCAACTTGGTCAGAACCATATTTATACTTAAAACCTCATCGAAATATTGATGAAGAATTAAGAAAACTGAAAGCTGAACCACCAAGAGGATTACCAAATGTTATGCGATATGGTTAAAAAAAAAGAAAATAAAAAGTTTTTAACAAAAATAGTAGAAACAACAAGAATTCATTTAAGAAAAAAACAAAGATGAAGAAGATTCCTGTTATGTTTGTGAACATCGTTTAAAAAAAATACTTGTACACCATTTCAAATATGATATATAATTCACTTACAAGGTAAAATATATATAAGTATAATTATACCAATTATTATTTATTCACACTGTTGTTTATAACTTTTAAAAAGAAAAGAAGCTATTTACTTAATAAAAGCTTATTATTTATAGGAAGGACTTTTATTTGCTTATTTAAGGTTACTAGAATTAAAAATGAAATCAACCGATTGAAATATGTCCACTGGATGCGAGGTAGCCGCTAAATGTATTTCAGACGGACTTTTTTAAAATTACACTGCGTTCCGAGTGGAATTTGTAGCGCTTAGAAGCTGTAGTGGAAGTGTTGTCGTTTTGTTACGGTGCGAGTTAGACAGCCTCATGCCCGACCTCCTAACTTTCTAAGTATTTTTACCGGTTGGGCGAGGTTCAGAGATGAGTTGGATGGGAAATGATTTTGAAACTCCAGTGAGTATGCTGCCAATCAACTGCTGATGCACTAAATCTTTACCGGTTTCATTCAATTTTTTTAAAATTATTGTGTCTAAGTTTTATTCACCGTCGAAACATGATCATACTTCATAAACTGTTAATCCCTCGTATTAAACTTACTAGAAATGGATAGAGCGTAAGATATTCACAATTTTATAACTGTACTATCCAAGAAAGCTCTGAATCAGAAAGAAAGAAAGAAAGACGCACTTTGTCCCTTATGCTAGCAATGAAGATGTCTTTTGTATCTTGATCCTTCAGTTTTTGAGTGTTGAACTTGGCTTGTGGTCTATCTGCAGCTCCTGATTCCCTGAAAGCTCTACCTTCTTTCATTTAACTTAATATAAAAGGATAAAACTTAAAATTTAATACTAACTAAACACAGTAAGATTTAAATCAATCCACTTGACATTCTTAAAAACTGGGGAATTATTCGACTGAAAGCTGAAAAAAAAAGATTAATTAAAAACCACTGGATTTCAATATTATATTTAGTTTCTTTAGAATAACTTATTAGTACTCCTTTAGTATAAACAGGATACTGTCCATTTATAGAGACTTTATTAAATATTAATAGACAGTATCGTGTTAATCAGTTATTCGTTACTGAAAATGTTTTCATTTTAAAATTTAAATTTTCGTCTGCTTATGGTTTAACACCAGTCTAGAGTTCAGCTAATTTCCAACTTGAAGAAAACACGAGGCTGATGTATTCATCACGAGTGAAAGTAGTAACGATAACAACTTGACGCCCTACGTCAATAAATATCTTAGAATTGAATAAAACAAAATATTGTGTATATTGAACAAATGAATGTATTTCATTTGTAAACATTAAAGACCAGTAATTATTATTACTATTAGATAATTGGAGGCAATCAGCAGAAAGCCTCAGACCTAGGTCTCGTGCTTGTTAGCACTCGTCAACAAGGCGTATCTGCATTTTCGAAGGAACTTATATCTCACCCGAGATTCCAACAGGCGCCACCCAATGCTACAGTCAGACATATCGCCCGTCAGTATTAGGGCTCGTGAATGACCTCCTGTAGGACTGTAATGGATAGTTTCATTGGACACTAACTGGGCCATGTGTCTGGTCTATGGTGTTGGTGTAGACTGAATTCTATCGGTCGAGTGTGCAATGTAGCCAGCCACCACAGTGGATGACTGCCCATCACGGTCCCACAAAAGAACCAGTGATTATTAATTGAAACCATTAGACAATAGCAATAAGGACAAGCAAAATGGTAACTTTATTTCGTATTGCTGTACTTTTTAAGCTGAATAGCTGAATTCCCAAGAATTCACTGTTTTCCTAGTCAAAATCTTCAGCTTTAGCATCAACCAGGTGTTCGCAAATTTAACTTTTTACTTTAGAAAACACTGTAACATTCATTCCCCTAGGTAATAGGTATTCTTAATCATATGAAAGGCTTATTTTGATTCACAAGAGATCATTATTCAAAGATGAAGAATAAACAGAACAAAAAGGAATGTGAGTGTGAAAAGGTCACAGAGTGAATAATAGTTTAAATCGTTTAGCAACTTCAAAATCCTGAGTTAAAAATCCTTTTTCTAAAAGAGTCTGAATTCATCCTACAAATAAGTGCGAAGTGTCACAAATCCTTGGCGTTGGTAGTTTACTGGTAGAACACTTGTCATCCAAACATGTGATCAGGGATTGATTCGCGATAGACACACTTCTCAACATTGCTAAACCAGTAATTGACCCAGTAAAGAGGGGAGGCTAAGCATAAGGGTAGCAACGTCACTCTGTAAAAGATAACACCCCACTAATGAAACTTGAAAGCTCAAGCTTGAAGTCCTGTGTTTCACTCGGAACGCATAGGAATTAAGTAAGAATGAATCCTGATCGCATAATTTTCTGTCATTTAATGTGGAGGGTATGAGATCAATAGCATAAGAGGAAAAGGATTCGTAATTGATAAAAAAAAATTTACTTTACTTTCAGACGATCACATCAAATTTCAACATGTATAATAGTGTTTTTCTTAAGGAGTTTCTATAAATAATTTTCTTTCTCACTCTGTAAGAACAATTAAACCGAATAACTCGTATACAGCTTAATACAACAGTCTGATTACAACATTTTAATTAATTATAGAGTGTGAATTAAGAAATTTTAATAGAGACAAAGAGTGACGTACCTCCTGAATAGATTTTAACATTAGAATTCATAGAATTCAGTTACGCTTCTTTAGATAGAAAAGAAATGTTATATGAGAAGTTAGATTCTTAGTAATTGTTAGTATTCCCTAACACTTACTCTCCAGCAGGATTAAATTAACTTCTGACTCAAGAAAACCTGAATCTCTTGTAAAAAGCTAACTTGTAAGAGGATATTCTCAGTTTTAAAAATATAACTATGACAAAAATAAATTAAATAGTCTTTGTTAATTCTTATTTTTAAGATTTTACCCCGGATTGATATCAGTTAGAGAACTATTGAAAACCAGGAAGTACTGAACTCGTTGACAATACGCACTCGGCGGGTTTCGAAATGAAGACCTTCTGGTCACAAGGCGAACTCGTAGACTTTTCAGCCACTGGGACCCGATTCAATGGAAAGCCCATGAATTCTAACTTCTACCAATTCGCGATTTTGGTGCGACTACTAGCCAATATCATCGGCGAGTATTTGTCCTCACTCACGACAGTATGAACCTCACTAGTCGCTATTTCTCACCAGAATTCAAGGAAACTTAGTCCTGTAGCCAGTCACTAGCGAGTATTAGGTTAATCTTTCAACAGTCGATCTGTACGGATTGTTTATTATACCTCTTTAATGACTCAGTTTTATTTGTTAGGCAAACATCATTACTTAGATAACTCATGAAAAAGACAAATATTGCGACGTGACATTGTTTCGTAGTCTCTTTACACCTAGCGTAGTTTATAATAATAAAATAAAATGTTTAGGAATCATCAGTTATATAAACTAAAATTGCATATTAATAACCAATCGTCAAATAGACGAAGCTTGTGTTCAAGTGTTTTCTGCAAGTGAGTAATCCCATCACTATATCTTCTGATCAGAAATAAACAATAAAGATTACAGTTATCACATACAAGCGGAGACGTAAGTTCATTGCTTTAATTATTAGAGAAAAAAAGGTGACGAAGACCAGTCATTCATGCTACAGTCTTCAGTGTAGTTAATCATACTTTGAGAAGAATAAATAACATAAAATGTTAGTTTGCTTTCAAAGATAAGATGATAAGTTAAGCTTTATTCCAAATCAGTACTTGTGATACAGAATGGAATTCTCAGCATTTTACTACAATATTGCATCCAGTTAGTACATTAACAATAAATATAGTTCTACATAGATTAAGGTTATCTCAGTTAGTTTTGACAACAACATATTAGCATGTTGGTAGCAAAGCCAAAATTTAAACAGAGTGTTTGAAGGTGTTAGAAAAGTAGATACTACTAGCATATTTACTGGCGTAAGCAATAGCAAAATGGTCGAGGTATACAGAGTGTTAAAGAACGAACAAGAATGTTTTAAGTAGAGTTTGTAAGGAAGAGAGAAACAAAACAGCACAGAACAAAAATGAATACAGAAAGAGAAAAAAAAGGTAGAGAGAAAACGTTGTACCTGTAAATGATGTGACTTGGAAAGACGAGATCCATTTGTTCTACTGACTATTTAATAAGTTAAAGGTTTCCCGCCTAACGCTTTCTTTATCGCACAGAACTCGAGTTAGGTAGGGAATGGATGAGTTTTTGTACTTGCTAGTGCGGGCATATAGTTTCCTATATAGGCTTCTGGTTTTCCCTGAAGATATACATGGGGAGAGTTGTGAAGATTCGACAGCATAATAGTACTTTCTTTGAAATTTTTATCAAGAGTATGGTACAGACTGAATTATATATGCCTTAGGACTCAGTATAGAGAATTTATGTAAAAATAATTTGGTTTGTTATAATGTTTTCATCTGCAAACCATCCATGATCTGAATCCCAGATTAAATAAATTCATGGGTCAGCCTGGATTTCAGAGTACTTTTTATACAGAGTAGGCAGATAATATTACCAAATTCTTTACCGCCATTCATTTAGGCTAAAATGTGCTCCTAATTGATGTAATCTTATATTTTCTAAAAGTCTTTGGGAAGGACCCCGTTTTTAGTCTTGGGACTGTAAAATTAGTTGTGGTTACATGGGTGTTCCATACTCAATTTACCTAAAAACGTTAGGCTACTCATAAGTAGCTTAAAATCAAATTAACAAATTTTCTATAAAGTACCTACAAAAAAATGTACCTATTATTGATAATTTAAGCGAACAATTGTTTTCAATAAATTCTTCTTTAGGCTCTAAAATTATAAATCCATTGATATTTAGAAAACAGAATCTAGCAAAAGGCAAACTGGAATAATAGCA